CACACACAACGAAATACGTTTCAGCTCTCGTCTTAGTCGATCTTTTGGAGCACTCTATAAGACACAGCGCTCCTGGGGAAAAGTCCCCAAGACTCTCACAAGGCTGAACCAAGACTCGCCCAAGACTGGACTCTCTCAAGGCTCGCCCCTGGACTGGACTCTCTCTCAGACTGGACTCGACTGCCCAAGGCTGCGTCTGTCGTGGAGTATTCGCCAAGACCAACTCAAACTCTCTTTATTCATTTTCAAAACTCTAACCAATTACAAAACAGTAAAAGACTCTAGGGCGTAACCTTCAATCATGAAGCCAATCACACTAAGTACTGAATACGTCATATCTTTTGATTAATCGTTCACTACATTAATAACTATGAATATAAACTGTCAGAATCGCGACGGATATCTCGTAATTAGTTCCAAATCACTGAGCCAAGTTCCGTCCAAAACTTCAAATAGACCTAAACGATGACAGACATAACACAGCAATTCGCTCGTAATCAACTAATTAAGTCGGTCAACAGATACGCGAAAACAAATTCATGACAAAAGTACCGATATATCAGTTACCGGCCGACTTGTTTTGTATACCCGTAGCGTTACCCCGGACTTTGACGTTCAATCTAACTTCGTTGGAAACCTTCACCTTGTCGAAAAAGACGCGACTTCTATAACAGAAACACTCTGCAATTCCGTAAAGGAAAACGGTCTCGAAACAACGAAAATGCTTGGCCTGGGAAGTGACGGTGCGTCCGTATGATGGTAGGGAGGAAAAACAGTGTGAGTGCTAAATTAAAAGACATTAACCCGTTTCTTCTGAACGTACACTGTGTTGCACATCGGCTCGCTCTATGTACAAACCAGGCTGCGTCAACGCTGGATTATTTGAAAGAATACAAAAATATTCTAACCAATCTTTTCTACTACTTTAAGGCATCTTCGCTCCGTTCATCGCGACTACGAGAGGTGGAAATAATGCTGGAAAGCCCACAACTCAAAATAAAGGAAATTCACGAAATACGATGGTTTGCTTTTTATGATGCGTTGCAGACAGTGTACTGTTCGTGGAATGCACTGGTCACATTTTTCGACGCGCAGAACAAATCCAAAGACCCGAAAGCCGTCGGCCTATACGACAAATTAACACAATATAAATTTGTCGCAGTTACCCATATTTTGATGGACATTATTTCTATCGTTACTCGTCTTAACCTCGTGTTTCAGAAAGATGAGATTGACATCGCCGCCGTGAAGCCATGCGTCAGAGCAACCATCGAGCAATTGAAGCAGTACAAAGAGGGAAACGTGAAGGGATTTTACACAACTAAGTTCCAAGACGAGGTCAAAGTCAGCGATGATGGGTCTTTGCAAACGTCTTTAATGGGCCATAATTTGAAGAATAGATCGAAACAAATTGGCGTCGTTAACAACGTGAAAAATGAGTTTATCAATAATTATATACCCTATATATAAAATATGTTTTTGAAATGCAGTCCCTCACCCCCTTGGCCATTTTCGCCGATTTTTAATCGCCGGAGCGATTTACGTCCTAAATTTTGGTTCTCCGGGCGTCTCTAATAAATACTCTATCTAACCGCTGGATTGA